GTCTACACAATAAACATATTCTCTCGTCTAATACATGCTGTGTGTATAGTTAACTAACCAATAATGATCTGTTTCTCCTTGAGATATTGTTCCTCCATATCAGCTACTTTGAGTTTCAGTTTCTCATAATCTTCTACATTAATAGAATATTCTCTCATCTAATATTATGTACTGATGATACACCAACCAGTAATAATCTGTTTCTTCTCCTCTACTTGTGTCTTCTCTTCTAATATTTCAGCAACTTTAGCTTGAAGCTTCTCATCATATTCTATGATCAATAAAAATACAAAAGATAGAAAATAAAATAATATTTGTTGCTTAAACAAACTTGCACTGCATGTACAGTAGCCCATAAATACATGTACTATGATTATTGCTAATGATACCATATATGGTAAGCAGAGCTCACTCTACATCAATCTCATTATTTCTAATGCATGGACAATTTGACCTATATTGAGTACAGGATACTATTTCCATACTCAACATTCTCTAATCCACTAGTATTATAATGTAAACAATGTTACAGTACACATAAACAACAGTACAACACAATAGTACCTAATTCAAGACTTGATTTATCCTTTTCTGCTTGCTCAAGGAGAGTGGTAGCATCATCAAGTTGCTGACTAAGTGTTGCCTTTTCCTGAAGAACCTGTTGCTGCTCTTTGTCTCGATCTTGCTGTATCTGCTCCTTCTCTTTTATTTCTCCTTGAAGCTGTTCCTCATAAAATCCCCTCTCTTTTTGTAATTGTAGACAATCTTGAAATAATTGAAGTTGTTTTTCTGTTCCTAAATTCTCCCAATCACTCAGTATCCTTCTTCTTAGTTGCTCTTGATACTGGTTCAGAGGTATTACACTAGTATACCAATCATTATCACTAGTATATCCTATACAGTAACAAAATAGTGGACAATAAGAAATATACAAATTAATTACAGTTAGTTTTACTATGGTAACCTTATTATTGATGGATTTATGTCGAATTATTGTATGGGTGACCTTTGTCAGTTTACACAGTTAACCACATGAACATATTATTGTATATAAATACACTGATAATAATATTTTATTCACTCTAGCTCCTATTAACATCAGTGTTTCTGTATCTGCAGTCATTATATTTCACTATTGTACATAGCAGGAATGAATTGGTAATAATTAGTATCATAGGTATATGTCAAATGCTCTCATTAAATATTCATCATAAGAATTACTTACTTTATTGTAATATTATCATTACTAATTATCATTACATATTAAATACACATTGTATCTATTACCGTCTACATGTTCTTACGGAGTTCAATAACTGCTGTATCAGCGTTTGATGTATCTCCTCCAAACTCAATTATCCAGTTAGTAGTTGGGGTCACACTCCACACTGAGAGAGAATGCCAGTATCTGTTAGTGACATTGTCAGGTAGATTAATCTATAAAATTAAATTAGTAATAATTAATTAGTGTATTACATAATAATTGATTTGATATCTGGTTAATAAACACAATAACTAAGTGACAGTTTTATAGTCTGCACAGTGTGTTTATGTAACACAAAAGATGACATAATAAAATTAATAATACACAATATATTAATAGACAAGTATACACAACTGAGTGTGTTATTAAATCATGTGAGTCCTCAATTAAGAACTTACTAAGTGTCTGCATGTACACACATACACATACACATACTAATGACACACTAACACACATACATGTACATCTATACATGCATAGACATATAAAAGTACATGTAAAGCATGCATAATGGCTCACACACATACATACACATGTACATGCTACATGTACACATGATGTATGTGTTAGTACACACATACACAAAAACATGTATGTACATACACAATGTACACACTTTATATAAAATACAATTTATTTTAATTCCAGCATTGCTACCGTATCAATTGTGAACCCATCTTTACACACACACACAGACACATGTATATTCACACATATTTAGGTAAAGAAACAAACACAAAACACAAAAAGACACTAACACACATTCACACTAAAAACAGACACACACACACATACTGAATAGTGAATACCAGCATTATTCATCAGTAGTTTTCACTGAGTATCATAATATGTACATGTACATTACAAACCTCATGAGTTACAAATTTAGTTAATCACTTTATGTTTCATTATCAAGCATCATAATATAATACTTACCAGTTCTTTCCATTTTCTTTTGTTAATGTCCAGTAACCATACATCATAGGCATATGATCCACCCACCACTAGTAAGTGTGGTCCTGAACTAGTGGTAATCAGTACACTGGAATGAGCCATTCTTCCCTCATGCCATTGTACTGATTCTGCAGGATTAGGTACTTCTAATATATCCTTAGAGAAAAATAAAATCAACGTAATAAAATAATTAATTATATAGAATGTGTTCATGAAAAAGATTGTGATAGAGACAAAATAATCTGCATTGCATTGAATTGAAAGCTAGAATACAATTGTTTCAAATAAAATGTAATTGAAAATCAACAATTAAATTTCACAGTCAAAACCCATCCTACAGTATTAACTCACCACTGATGTCTTAGTGAAACTTATCATATACAGTTTATTACTCTCTCCATTATCAGTAAGGCCACCGAACATTACCGCAGTGTTATTAGTAACTGGTGTTAGAGTGAAGTTTTCAATAGGAGGTGGTCTGTCTCCAGTAACAACAGGAGATATCCATTGATCTAATAATAGTGTACAAACATTCATGTACACTTACTACCACATACACACACATACATTATACACATTCATCATACATATGTATGTGTATATGTGTGTACATTATTATTTATACATACACATCATGCATAGACACACATCACTATCACATGATACACAAACACACACACACACACACTCATGTATGGATACACACACACCACACCTGTATACATGAAGGAGAGGTCCAGGGGGTCTCCTTATTTCAAGATTACTAAAGGGCAATGCACACGGGCAAATTAACGTATGCGTTACAACAGGAAGTGTTCTATAAACCAATGACCACCGTTTACGTAAGGTACGGATAGACTTAATTTCAATCCTTACCTTATGTAAACGGTGGTCATTGGTTTATAGAGCACTTCCTGTT